AGCGCGAGGCCCGCCGCCGTCCAGCCGCCACCTGCCCGCTGGGCCGCCGACAGCCGGCCCCTCCGCGCACCGCTCCGGAGCGTTATTGTGAGCCGCAGGAGCGGGGAGCGCCGCCGTCGGCCTGCGTTTCGCCCGTTGGGCGCGGAGGAGGGCCCGAAGGACGCGCCGCGAAGCGCGTGCTGCCGGAGCGCTCCGCTCGGCTGTCGGGCCGCCAGAGCGCCGGGCTTCCCGCTTTAGTGGACTTCATTTATTTGTGTGGACAGCATCCCTTTGCATCTGTATCAGACAAAAGTCACTTGTAACGGAGCCTTCTGTGAGTGAAATCTAAATTTGCGGTCTGTCGGCTCCGGTTACCAGTAAGTGATGCTTCCTCCGCGGGGATAACTGGCCCTGAGGTGACTCGTCAGATCATGGTCCGCCCGATGGAGCCGGCAAGGAGCCTTTCGCCATTGTTTTTTTTTTTTAATGTGTAAGGGGAGAAAAAACAAGTGTTCCTGGTCAGATACTGTGAATGTCGTTCGAGTCAGAGATACTTCCTAGTAATTCTTGTTTTGCTTTTTTTCCCTTTAGAAGTCAACAAAGCCTGCAAAGGATCTGAAAAACGAACAGTGCAGGAGGGGGACGCGAGTGCAGTCGGGCCGGCGCGAGCGACTGCGCGGAGGAGCAGAGGGGCGGCCGCGCGGGCCGGGGGAGGCTTCTGTTTTGTTTTGTTTTAAAATGGGAGGAACTTGAGGATATTTATAGACCGAGAGGAGGAACTCGGAGGAGCTGGAGCTGTAGACGCCAAACAGGTGAGGGGCTACTTCGTAGAGATTCTGGAGCAAGAGGTGCGCAAACCTTTCTTAGGGATTCCTGGGTGCTTTCCTGGGCCCACAAATGCCCATTTTTGAGTTGCTGAACATAGTTATCTGTTTGAAAGGTATTTGTGAGGCCATAAAATCATAAAGAAAAAATTACAATGCTATCTGCCCTCCCAGTATAACAAACAATAGAGTCCACTCTTCAGACCTGGAAAGTGCGCTTGAGGTTGTATTTGGAATTTAAGAAGGCAAACATGTTCTTTCCTCGACAAGCTTGCTTTCTTCTAATCAAAATCAGTTGGGGGTTTGGTGGTGCCACAAGGTAAAGGAAGCCCAGAAGTTTATCCCCACTGAGCAAACCCCAAGGCGCATATTGGGCTCTCTAGACAGGGCTGTGAGGATGCACGTCTTGCTATCAATATTAAATAGTCGCTGAGACGTGACTGAGACTGGGCGTGGTGGTGCAGATCTATAATCCCAGCACTTGGGAGGCTGAAAACAGGAGAGTCACTATGAGTCCGATCTATGTAATGAAACCCTGTAGACCCTGTTCTAAATACAGAAAAAATAAATAGTACCTGAAGTTTTAAACAGTGTCTTAAGACTATTTTTTTTTAATTTTTATTTATTTATTTTGTGTGAGTGGCCAGCTCAGCCCACCAGGGGGCGGGGCTGGCTGGCATATGGTGCTGGGGGATTGAACCAGGGTCCCTGTGCTTTGCTTAGTTTAGCTTGTTCTAAGTAGGTGCTTTAGACCACTGAGCCATCTCACCAGCCCTTAAGACTATTTTTAAACTTTGCAAGTAGTGGTGTGACCTTAAGGATGGTTTTCAGATGTACTTTTCAGTGGACATGGTAGTAGGTCTGTATTCTCCACATCATGGGAGCAGAGGGTATTCTGAAGGACAAAAGGGACCTACTCAGATCTGTAGAAGCTTGACTCTGTGGTAACAATACTAACAAAAGTGGGATGGCTGGCACCAGGGGACACAATGGCAGGGGGAACCCCGTAGGAGGCCTTGATCTGGGAAATCTGACAAAGTCAAGTTCTTTCTCTTCCTCTTCCGGGAGCCAGACTTGCTTATCCCGCTGACTTGGGGAGGGGGGATCGAGTTTGTTTTTCACGTTGTTGACACTCGTGTTTCAGAGGTGCAACCTCAGTCACCAAACTCAAGAGCAGGTTTGGGCTGGCACTACCAGAAAGGAGGTCACCACGGTGGTAGGTGGTGGCGGGCTTTGGAGCTGGGAGGAACAGGGCCAAGGGGCCTGGAGGAACAGGCAGGGATCTCAGAAAGGGCCTGAGCAGAGAAGGCAGTGGGAAGAGGGGTGAAGGGCTCAACCCTTGTTTATGTCCTAGATCCCTGTGGGGCTGGGTGTGCCCCGGAGAGGGACAAGAAATGAGGAAAAGCTGTGTGAAACTGGATTAGACGCGCTCCTGATTGTGTGACCAGAACCCCAGCCAGAATGAAATGGGAAGGAACTCAAAGAACTTGGGGTCCACTGCCCAGGGCATGGCCAAGGGGGGGGGGATCCACGGAGGCAAGGTGGGCTGGGCTGAGTGGGCCGGAGTGCAGGCACCCGGCTCAGTCCTGGCAGTGACAGAGGGGAGCAGCAAGGCTAGCTTGGGGTCCACTGGCTGCCAAGAAGACCGAGGTTAGGGTTTGGGTATAGACGGGTCTCACTGAGATGCTCCAGTGGGAAGTGGTGGGAGTGAAGAACGTGTTAAAACATGTTGATTTTTTTGGTCGTGAGAATCCAACTTGTGGCCTCAGGGTTGCCAGGTGGGTGCTGCACCACTGAGCTCCACCCCAGCCCTCCGAAGACATATTTGGGAATTCAAACATTAACACATCAGCACCACATTCCCCAGTCATTAAGCCCTCCTGTCTCCAGGTGGGGGGTCCCCCTCTTTGCTGGGAGGGCCCTATTAACTCCCTGGAAGCCCAGGGGCTCAAAAGGTCCAAGAAGCAAGGGTCACCCTTGCCCAGGAAGGCAGGGCTCCCCTAGCTCCTCTCCCATGCCCGCCCCCAAAGTCGAAATGGGTCCCCTGGGACCATCCAAAGTGCTGCAAGTGCTTCCTGCAATCTCTGGGATGGAAACCCAGGGACACTCTTCTCATTGCCTGGGCCCTGAGGGCTCAGGGCTCTCTGCTCCCAGGGAGAGATGGGCCAGAGTCTCCTTGGGGGGCAGTAAGCAGTCAGGTGCCTGTCTTCCTCTGCACATGGTTTTGCAACCTCACAAACACTCCCATGAGGGCTTGACGAGAGGCAGGGTCCCCATGCTCCCTGCCAACCCCAGAGGACAGGGCTCATGGGGCAGTAAAGCCAGCACCCAAGGGCAAAGGGGAAGGGAGCAAAGCGAACGATGCAAAGAACTGGAAGCCGGGGGTGAGGTATAAAAATCTGTATTTATATTACAATGACAGAATGACAGCACAGCCCCACCTGGAGGCAGTGGTGGGGGCCTTCACTCTCAGCTCAGGTTTCCACCCACGCCTACCACCCAACTCCCTGTGCACACAACTGCAATGGAACCTGCCTTGGTGCCCTGGACAGAGACCCGTGCAGACTGCTAGCCTGGTTGGGACCTGTGGGCAGGCAGTGCGGGTCTGGTTGGCTGACTCCAAGAGAGGCAGAGATGGTGGGGGCAGACAGGAGCAGGGGGCCCTGGGCTGCAGTTTGGCATGGGGCTCCCTCTGTCCAGGAATGTGGACAAGCACCTGGCCATCGCCTAGGCCAACTGGGTAGTAGAGCCTATCACCAAGGAGCTGTCCCCCATAAGGTGGAAACCCCAGTCTGAGCCCTGAGTACCACATGGCTGGAGGGACACAGGTGAAGGAAATGGGCCATGGCTTCTCTGGTCCTGATTTCTTTCTACAGTCACCACAATGGCCCCCAGCAGTAGCCTCCTTGTGCAGAAAAATGGATCAGGGGAGGGAGGTGTGGATGTGGAGCTTAGCACCAGCTGCACCTGTGGACCCCTTACTACCCGGGCTAGTGGGGGAGATGGAGAGCACCCATGGGTGGCTAAAGAGGCCAACTCCCCAGTCCACATAGGAGTCATGGCCTGAACAGGCATAGGTGAAGCTGCCAGGAGGGTGGCCAAGGTGCCACTTCGGTCCCCAACACAGGGCTGGAGCCTGCAGGGCAGAGCTGAGGCAAGGGGACAGAGAGTGAGGGTTTAAGAACTCTGGCAGTGACCCTGGAGTTCCAGGCCCTTCAATATGGGTTCCTGGCACATGGCAGACAGAGCCCCTTCCTGGGTACTGATCCCCAAAAGGGCTACAGAACAGACCCCCACCAGGGGCCTGTTCTGCTGTCCTCAGCCCCCTACTCCCCAGCAGGCAGGTTGCAGGCTACAGTTGTTTCCAGGACCCCCTTCTTGCCTCAGCCCCAAGGGTCCACAGGCGTGACTAGAGATAAACAGAATTCTCCCTGCCACTTGGAAATTGGTTACAAATGCACCAGAGGGGTGGAAGGTGCTGCTGTGCACCAGCCCTAGGGCTACCGCCCAAGTATTGCTGTGTGGTCCCTGCCGCTGGGGACAAGGACTTTGGGACTGAAAGGCCCCATGACCAGAGAGAATGCTGTGCTCATCAGCTGCCAAAGTCAGACTCCTGGAGCCCTTGCCCCAGCCCGGGGCAGGGTTCGAGTCGGTTACAGACTGGCAAGCAGGCCTGCTGTCCCCAGCTGCGCAGGCCATGCCTACCCACTGCAGGGGGGAGGGGTCGCACTGGGAGCTGTGGCCCCATATCGGAAGCCACTCTGCTGGGATGCCGCCCAGGGGAAGGGCACAGAGGGCACTTGCCAGGCAAGCCTGGACATCCCAGGAACCTCAAGGGACATGCTGGTGGCAGTGGGCAAGGCGAAACAGGGGACACAAGGCACACTATGACAATGTGACAAAGGACAGGTCCCTGAGACGCTGGGTCGCTCCCACCCCTCAGCAAATAAGGACACACGACAGCTAGGAAAATAGAGTACAAAAGTCTCATACAGGAAATAGAGGCGCATACACTCGCGTCTCTTGGCGAGTCTTTAGAGTTTTTTTCTTTTTAAAAAATGTTTCTGGTTTTTTGTTTTTTTTTTGTGTGTGTGTGGGGGGAAGCCTCTGCCAGCTGAGGCTGCCACAGGCAGAACCAGTGAGGTCCCTCAAAGGGAGCTGACCTTGCTGGGCAATGTGGCTTTTCTTTTCTTTTTTTAAGAAAGGGAGGTGAGGCAGGGCGTGGTTGAGCACACCCATGATCCCAGTACTCTGGGAGGCTGAGGCAGGAAGATTGCCAAGTTCAAGCCCAGCCTGGGCAACTTAGCGACTTAGTGAGACCCTGTCTCAAAATAAAAAATAAAAAAGGGCTAGGGATGTAGCTCAGTGTGAAGGTCCTAGTTCAATCCCCAGTACTGCAAAAAGTTACAAAGAAAGAGGGGAAAAAAAAAAGAAAAAAAAGAAAGCGGGAGATGAGAAAGCTGAGAAGCCAGTGGTTCAGCTGCTGGCCTAGCCCCTCCCAGGCTTTGCAGGGAAGAGAAGCCCAATACCTGTGCAGACGACACAGGGCCAGCACTGGCCTCAGTGACCCCCGAAGGCCAGCCTCTTGGGACATCTGCCCTCTGAGGGCCCACGCATCTGCATGTGCGAGCATGTGCTGATGCCAGCCTGGCTGCATGTACCCATCTGCCAGTCCTAACAGAACAGAAACTGCCCAGCTTGGCACAGGCAGCCCAGCCTCTCTGCCCGCACGCCCCAGCGTGCTCACCCAAGTCCAGCCTGGTGCAGAGCCTTCCACGCTGTCCGCACTGTAGGAGCTGCGAGGACAACCGCCAGGCGCACCTTCCTTCTTTCTTTCGTCCACTCCTTCCTCCTGGCATCTGGCACTGGGGCTGGGCTCCCCAAGGTGGTCACGAGGCCCCGTACACGGTGCCCACTGAGGTTTGCGGCAATGACATTTAATACTTCTGGAATGATTAAGAATCGGAGGACAGACGTGGGCAGCTACGCTGGGCTCCGGGTGGTGGGTGCCAGGCCCCACCTTCTTGTGGGGGCCCTGCCTATGGACCAGGAGGGCACAGACTGGCAGCCCAGGCAGGTGGCAGCTGGAGCTTCCAACATGGCCCAGCACTGGGCCCACAGAGAGGCTGGCGTCAGCTGAGGGAGGACTGGAGGGCTGCCACGGCTGGCCAAGCAGGTGGGTAGGCCAGGGAACACAGGAAGCAAGGCCTACAAGAGGCTGGGGCGACCAGGTCGCCTACAAGGGCGCCTGTAGCCCCCACCGCTGCAGCCGCTGCTCTGCAGGCTGCAGTGCTCATCGGCGTCACTGCTGCTGCCAACACTGTCCAGCTCACCTGGCCCAAACTCCATGCCGTCTACGTCCACCTCTGGGGAAACAGAAGACAGGAGCAGGCACTGCAGAGCTGACCCTTCATGGAAGGCTGTGCTCTGAGGGGAATGAGGGGTCCTGCCCAGCCCTAAAGCAGCAGAGGCCAGGCGAGATCTCAGCAAGAGCCAGCAGCCTCCGAGGGCACTGCCCAGGACCCAGCCACCCTGGTGCTCACGCAGCCTGGCCATTGGCCTTGGCGCTCCTCCCTGCATGCCTCAGTGAAGGACAAAGCTGGAACCAGCAGGTAGCACCCCAAGAGCCACCCTAGCACGTCCTTTTCCACATAACACCTGCAGCGCCCTACCTTGCTCTGAGTCATCTGTGGAGACAGCAGAGCCAGTGCTGTCCGTACGCACGCGCTCCATGCTCTGCACCGACAACTGCTCCAAGCGCCGTTTCAAGAAGTGATGCTCCCGCTGTAGCTGTTCCTTGATGCTCAGTGCCCTGCGGTCCTGCTCCTCCAGTTTCTGGGGACAGGGATGGCAACAGTAAGCCCATAGTCAGGACGGGGCAGCATCCTCCCCAGGTGCAAGGACACAAGGCTGGGCAGGGCAGGACCCTCACTCTGACATGGCCCAGTGAGGGCACTGCCACCGAGCACCCTGCCTGCCCACTCACCAGGCTGAGTCATCTGTGGGCCTCACCCTGGGCCACCCAGCCTTTCGGCAGCACCATCCTCTGAGGGGTCACCCTGCCAAGTACCCTGCTTGGCCATCAGCCTGGGGTCTTTGCCACGCCTGTACCTGAGGCAGCCTACCCTCTGTGTCCTCCATGCCCCCTGGGTTCTCCCACCTGAGACACAGAGAAGGCCCTTTATGGGAACAGAAGTCTGCCATGGCCCCATTGTCTTCGATCCCCGAGTCAGCAGACAGTCCAAAGACCATAGGGATGTCCCAGGAAATACCTCCCACAGCCCCCAGAGCAGCCCCACTTTGCTCACATACTTCTTTTTTTTTTTTTTCTTGGCGGAACCTGGGATTGAACTCAGGCCCTTGAGCTTGCCAGGGAAGCGCTTATCCCACTAAGCCATTCTCCCCGGCCATGCTCACATACTTCAAGGTGCTGCATCTAGCCTGCCTCTCTGCAAAGACACAGAGGGAGCTCCCCCTTTGGTCAGCCCACCTTACAATTGCTGTTGGCCCAGGGCCATGGGAGTCAACTGTACCCTAAGGCCCCTTCCCGAGCCCAGCCAATACATTATTCCCTCCAATCACCCTAGGTGACTTCCCAACCCCTGCAGCTCCTGAGGCAGCCCCCACAAAATACCCCAAGTCCCAACATAAACCTGCCGGGTGACTCCCCTCCCCACCATCTCCAGGGTCTCTGGGTCAGGGCTCCCTAGGGCACACAGGACAGAGACGGGATGGGCAGGCCAGGTCCACTCACCTTGATGTGCATCTTGGCGCGCTTTAGGAGGCTCAGTGTGGTGTGGCGTGTGCTGTCTGGGCCCAAAGGCACCAGCTGCTTTAGCTGCTCCAGGTAGAGTCTGAGCTTGGCTCGTCTGAAAGAGCCAAAGATGGAGCCATCAGCCCAGGCAGCAAACAGCATGTGACGGTGGGAGCCACTGACCCAGGCTCTCACAGGTCCCACCCACCATGGGGACTGGGTCCCCTCCTGGTCTGGCCCGCAGCAGCCAAGGGAGCAGCAAAGTGCCTGCAGCTCTCTGGATGTGGCATCCACAAGTCCCCAAATCCAGGTGACACTTAGTCTGGGTTTAGGGACCTGGAGGCTTGGACAACATTCATACCTCCCACCTTGCCATGCACAGTGTGCCCTTGGCCACTGCCGTCCTCACAGAAAGCTGAGTTTGTTGAGACAGGGAGGGCCAGGGACCAGCCAGTCCCCCTCTGGAATCTACTGCAGTTCAGATTTTGTCCTCATGTCCATAATTTTGAGGATCCGCTTTCCCCAAAATTGGAGCTGTATACTCAAGGTGCTGGCTAGTGAGTCACAATCCCTTGGGAAATGCTGCCTTCTGTGGCCAGCAGGGGTGGCAGTTGGCTGTGGGCTTTCCTCTGATGCTCCACAGTGACCCCGGACCTCTACCATGTCCCCACACCTACCCACCTGGCAACCTCTCCAGGTCATGCATGACACCCCACAGCAGACCCTGGCCCTGCTTCCAAACCCAGCACACTCACTTAGAAAAAATCCCTAGGAGCAGGCCTGCCAAGTCAGGGATAAGAATATGTTTTCAGACTTTTAAATCTCTTGCTCAACAGCCCTACCACGGTCAGCACTTCCCTGCGCTCCTCTCCCCTTTCCAGATCTGCTCCCTAGTTGCAGAGCCCCTGCAAACCCATGACCTCCTTTGGTCCTAGAGTGACCCTGGAGGACAGTGGCAGGAACAGCCACCTTTTGGATGAAGAGAAGCCAAGGCCCAGGGAGGAGGAGCCACTGGGTATAGAGAGAGGTGTGAGAAGGACTTGTGATTATGGGTCACTCTCTGCTAGCACATCCACCCCACACCTTTCATAGCCAAGTACCTTTTGGCCCAGTGTCCCAGCCTATAGCACCTGGAAAGCCAGAGGTTCTGGATTAACTTAAGTGGACCTTAGGAAGAACTTGTAGGGCACAGGACTGTGGCTGTGCTGGGCTAGGTGGGGTCTGGGCAAGACTACCCAGAATGCCCAGAGCCTCGGCCTCCTCCTCTCCATGGAGAAAAGGCCCTCGCACCCAGGAACTAAAGGAGCAGGACATTGAGCTGGGCAGGGGAGCAGAGCTCTCCGCTTAGGGAGAGGGGCCCTTCCAAGGTGGATCCCCACTGTCCTGAAGCCACCACCAGGACCAAGTTCACAAATGGAGGTGCTACCAGGAACCTCCTCCCCTGGCCCAATCAGGACATAGCAAATAGTGATTTCAGCAAAACCTTTATGATAATACTAAAACATACAAAGAATAAAAGCACCCACACATGCTGTCACCCATACACACCTGCACTGCCAGTGTGGTGCATTACGTTTGCACACCATAATGTTAAGTGAAAAGAATCAGGATACAGAACCACGTAGGTGACAGGTGATCCAAATGTGTTTAAAAAATAAAACAACAGAGGTACCCAAGAGACTCCAGGGGACACCAACAAAGCGCAGGGATCCTATATGGGGGGGCGTACTGGTAACGTTTATCTCCTTAGCTTTGTTCTTTTCTGTATCTGCTTGTTTTCTATGCTTAAAAAACCCACAGAATACTATTACAATCAGAGGACACAAGTGTACAAGAAAAAAAAAAACATAGCTAACAGACAAAATGATGGCAAAACGCCATCCACAATACATGCAGAAGACAGCGGTGCCCGTGGTACCTTGGCTCATACACCAAAAGGGAAAAGCAACGCTTCTGTGTACCAACAGGCAAACCACACAAACCAGCAGGCTGTATCATCCAGAGGGCAAATACAACATAAGCTGACTCCATCTCATAAGCAATCAAAGAAATAAAAATGTAAACCAGAACACACTCATTTTCCCCTTTTTAAACGTTGAAAAGGCTGCTGGTACTCAACTGGCCAGCACATGGGGGCGTCAGTCTGCATGGCAGAAGAGCTGCTGGCCTAGCTGTGTTTTGTTTCTTTGTTTTGTCTTTTTGAGACAGGGTGTCACTATGCAGCTCAGGCTGGCCTTGCACTCACTTTGTAGCCCAGGCTGGTCTCAAACTGACAATGATCTTCCTGCCTCAGCCTTCCAAGTGCTGGATTACAGGCGTGCGCCTTCACACACAGCTGTAGCTGTGAAAGTCACATCAGCTCAGACCATTAGCTGATGTAGGACCTAAGGCACAGGTCATACAAAACCATGCCCAGGGGTGTGGGACCACACTCAGCAAGGCTTCCTGCAGAAGGCCAGCTCCAGAACCTCGGAGCAACCTCCGGGATGGGAGCCCAGGGAGGGGGCATGGGCATGGGCATGGGCAGGGCACACTTATGTGGGGCTACCTGAAGCGCCAAGGTGCAGGGCAGTAAATAATAGTATCCTCCTCATCCCGGGGCACCATGGCTGCGGTGGTGTGCCGTGGGGGCAATATGTACAACACTTGAGAAAAAGTCATTTCTCAAGAAGAGCAAGGCCACTTGACCAAGCTTGTGCAGTGTTTAAGATTCCACATGTTGGCCCGACCCTGGGAGAGCACACAGCCAGGGCTGCAGGCTACACAGGCCATCCTGGCACGCTGCCCTGGGCAGTGGCTATGACAGGCTACCTGGGGCAAGGGCCTGGAACTGGCTCTGCCAATGGCTGCTTGAGAGATGCAAGGTCGGGGAGGGGGCACCCATCTCAACCCAGGTAGCACTGTGCTGTCACCAAAATGTCTTCCCTACAGCCACTGCAGTACCCCAGTCTTCTGCCATCACCCCTCGGCTATCCCTGCCCATTTAAGGAGCTTGCTCCTAAACTCCTGAAGGAGGCTTGCATGGCTAGGGGTGGGTGTGCTGTTGGACCCCTGTATCCTTCTGCCTGATCACCCTGCAGCTTACCACCACAAAGCAGGCTCCTTGGAAGGCCCAGAGGGTCCCCCAGTACCCAAGGGATGGCAGAATCTAGGCTTCCAGAGATAAGGCAGTGAAGAAACGCACAGGATGTGTGGGGGGGGTGAGCAAGCAGCTCACCCTCGTATGTGTTTACCTGCATCTTGTGGCTGTTGCTAATTTACATTCCCTGAGGGGCTCCATGGGGCTGAAGCCCCTAGCAGAAAGCTGAGGACACAAGGCAGGAAGGTCACACCTTGGGACAACTGGCTCGATGCTCAGAAGGGAGCAGGAACCTAACTGAGGACGTGAGCCTGGCTGCTGGGACATGCTCTGGTCCTCCAAGGGGTGCTGAGGGCCAGGAAGACAGCCAGCACTCCCTCCCCAGTATCCTCAGGGCAGAACCTGGGGCCACTGCAGAAGAAGCAACAGTCAAACACTGCCCTTGGCAGCCCTGCTACAGCTGTGAGTCCACACCAGTGCTCAGGGGAGGAGGAACTGGACCAGGGGCTCAGCACACCACAAGGGGAAGCCCCAGGGCCCAGGCCAGGACGAGTGTGCAGCTCCAGGGGAGACAGCATCTGGGCCTGGCTGGGCACTTCCTTCCTTCCTCAGGGAGCTCCCAGCTGCCCCTGCAGCCAGCAGCCAACCAGAAGCATCGGCAGGGGCCCAGCCAAGACCTTCATCTCTGCCAGGGCCCCAAGATGCAAGCTCCCCACACCTGCACCTCAGCCAACCAGGAATGGAGACCTGGTGCTGGGCTGGGGGCACCTCAAAGATCCTCTGGCCACCATGCCACCCCTTCTCTATCTCAAAGGGTCCCAGGAAACCCTGTGTCAGCTCCAACTCCAAGATGGTGCAGACTCACACTGAGGTCAAAGGGCAGCTAGCCGGGTCAGGATCAGAGATCACACCCACCCTCCCCCCAGGGCACCACCCACCTGTCAGATTCCACTTCCAGGAAGCTCTCTCCGAATACTCCTGAGCCTACCTAGTTCTTGGGTTTTATTCAAGGCCAGGCTGGTCTGACCTTAGAGCAACCCCAGGCCTGCCTGGCACCACCCCCTAGATCCACAGCCTTGCAGGAAGCCCCCTAACACATGGGACCAGTGCAGGAAGTGCAAGCCCTCAGGGAACACTGTGTTCCATCCCTGTAGCCGCCTGCTTTAGCCAGAGGCACAAATCACATCCCAGGGGAGCGGAAGTGGGTGCAGACAAGAGGGGAAGAGGAGGGGGGACGTGGCCAAGCTCCAAACCTTCCCAGCAAGACCAGGGTGTAGACCTGCCCACTATGAAGGCAGGAAAGAACAAATCCATTGCAGGCAGGAGCAGAGGCCAGGAGAGAGCTTTTGCCTAGCACTCCTGGGGCTTCCTGTACCCTAGAGGGAGCTGCTACCCTTTAGTGCTTCCTGCCCTGCCCCAGGCAGAAGACTCCAGCACACCTTGTTAGAAGGCACAGAGACCTGGGGTTCTGCTGCTTGCTGCAGAGGGGTTCAGACACTACAAAGCACATCATCTCCAGGCAGCTGGCCATGACTGCCACTAGCATCAAGGGACCTACTCCAAGTCCCTGGCCCAGTCTGAGGGTCCAAGAGCACACTTGGGCCCCTGCATCTGCCTGCCAGCCCGAGAGCACCTGCACATAGACACCAAAGGCACAGGCAGCTCTCCCACTACCAGGCAGGCCAGTCACAGCCTCCCCTCTGCAGATGGGGCCATGCGGGAATAAGGGGTCACTTACCTGTGCTTTTCTAGTTCGTTGTGTGAAGACCTGTTCAGAGAGACAGAAAAATGAGGCTCACTCAGAGGCCCAGCACCAGAGCCCAGACAACGAAAGCCATGCTCAAGGGCTGGGAGCCCCCACAGAGGGTAGCCAGACAGGTTGGGGGCCCAGGCTGTTGCCAACTGTAGGAAGGGAGAGCACATAGAGAGCAGAGATGGGGCAGAAAGGAGGCCACCTCAAGAGGTGGGGCAGGGGAGGCCTCTGGCTGGCAGGGAGCTGCCCAGATGCCCACCCCTGAGGCCAGCCTTCAGGACACAGGACATTGTTCCCACAGCCACACCACCGAGCTCACAGCTGCAGCTTGCAGCCCACCCTGTAGAACTTCAGACAGGCAGACCCCCAGTGACACGAGAGGGATACTGAGGCCTTCTTACCTCCCCCAGGGGCCACCTTCTGGCAGGACTGGCCAGTGAGGACCCAAGATTGTCTCCCTGGAGACAGCCACCTTGCCAATCTGGCCCATTCAGACAGGGGCGCAGAATGCTGAGCCCCATTACAGCGAGGGCCACGCAGGTAGCTTGCCCTGGTATTTTCAGGTCACCTTCCCAGTCCAGAGAGGACTCCACAGGCCGCTTAGGGTGCCCAGCCCTCCGAGACTGCTGTATACATGAGCAAAGGGCTCAGGCCACCTCAGGGTAAACCAAGACTACTGCTTCCCAGGCACTGCCTGCTGCCCCCAATGTCTTTCCCTTGCCTGGCTGACTACCCAGGGCCCTCTTCCTACCAGACCTCCTAGCTCTGGGTTCTTCCTGTGCAGGGACTTGCTGGTCACATGGGCTGGGTAAAGAGCTTTGGAACTTCTGCCAGGACCAGTCAGAGCCAGAAAGGATACTGCTGATGTTCCTCCTGGCCTGCCCGGGACTGCCCGTCAGCCCAAGCCACAGTCTCGCCATGTGGTCCGTAGGTACTGCTGGCTTACGAAGGCAGCTAGGGTCAGCAGGTACCCTTCAGCACTGGGAAGCCCACCCACTCCCTGGAACAGTGGCACCCTACCCTGATGGGAGAGATCCTTCTGTGTCTAGGACCCCTGCAAGAGACTTGTGCCTAAGGAGAGGTAGGCCAAGCCCTGGCCAACTGTACCAAGTACTTTCCTGGCATCACTTGGGCCCAGAGAGCCAGGAAATCTCAGAGAGCCTGACTCCTTCTGCTGAGCCACAACCCAGAGGGCTTCCTAACCCTACCCCGTGGCTCCTGCTCCTGCTCACCTCACACCAGGGCCCACTGTGCCTGTCCCTAGCACCGGCAGAATACAGAAGCTATGGGGCTCCCTTGTCATGTCAGGGTCCCAGGACCTTGTCTGGGCTGGCTGGAAACAGCCTGGAAGGTGGTGACAGCCAGGGGAGCTGGGCCCACTGCAGGGGAGGTATGCTCTGGCTAGGCTTGTCTGCGCAGTCACTCAGCGCTCCAGCAGAATGTGAGAGACCAAGACCCTGGGCGTCAGGAAGCTGTTGACTAGCCCCAGGTAAATCACCTGATCTTTCTAGGCCTCAATTTCCAGAGCTGTAAAATGGAGACAAACAATCCTTCCTTGGAGGAGCCAGAGTATAGATTAGCTCCTGGGGGGGGGGGGTGTGCAGGTGGCACTCACAGAGCCTTCACCTGACCCTGCTGGTCATTGAGTGCACTCCACACCCTGGGGCCCAGGAACAGCACAAACAGGGGTCTGGCCAGCTCACCATGGAGGCCCCAGGCAGTGTAGCCCCAACACACTCTGCTCCTGCAAATGTTTCCAGCAGGGCACCAGAGTGGTGAGGCTCAACCAATTCTTTGCCAGGCTTCGGACGCCACAGAGCTGGGTCCCCGTGCCAGCCTCTCTGTTTCCCAAGAACAGGCAGCCACAGGAATGAGCCACACCCTCTGCCAAGGGGCCCTAAAGCCCCCTGTCAGCCCCGCTCCAGCTAGGGGACACGGGAGGGGCTGGGCCAAGGCGGGTCCCTGGACAGTGCCCAGCTTTTGGTGGCCATGGCAGGAGCTAGAAGAGTGGAGCCTCAGGAAGACCCAGCCCAGAGAACCAGGTCCCACCAGGACTGAGGGAGCACCAGAAGTTTCGGGGCTTGCAAACTCTTAACTACAAGGTCCAGAGCACCAAAAGGGTAGCTGGCCAAGGAGAATCTGCAGCCTGCCCCTCCTCTCACCACACCAAAGGCCTAGGCCCCAAACAGGGGTACTCTGCACTTGTGGCCGGAGCTGCACGGTCTGGGGCCCGCAGGCCGGTGGGGACAGGGAGGGGTCTTTGTCTGGACTCCTGGGGTGGGGTGCGAGCAGAGACACAAGGCCCGGAACAGGGGGAGAGCTCAGGGCCACCCGAGGCCTCAGGGCCACCGGGCCCAGGACTCCGACCCGCGGCCGCTGACAACGCACCCACCGCCTGGGGAGGTCGGCGGCGCCCCGGGGCGGGCGCGGGCGCTGTACGCGTGGCACTGTTTACGGCGGCGGAGGCGCGGCCGCGGGAAGATGGCGACGCGCGGGCGGGGCGGGCGGGGCCGGTGCGCCTCCTCCAGGCCGGCCGCCGGGGCACAGGTTGCAGCGGGCGCGGGGGGCACGGTGGGGCGACGCGCGGCGGGGCGGCGCGGGGGTGGTACCTGTTGTTCGGGGCCTTGCGCACCAGGCCGACCGCCTTTGTTTTCTTCCTGGTGAAGTCACCGTCGAAGGGGAGCACCGAGGCGTAGCCGTGCTCGGCCTCTGCGGACAGACGGCGCGGTCAGCGGTCCCCACCCGCTCAGCGCCCGCCGCCCACCCGTGCACAAAGACGCGCGGACTACCTCGGTCCCGGCGCTCTAGGTACTCGGCTGCCTCCAGCAACAGCAGCAGGGAGTTCAGCTCCATCCTGCCGCCCGCGCCCAGGACGGAGGCGGCTGCTGCGCGGCGCGCTCGGGCCGGCTCCGCTGCCGCCAGCCACACGCGCCCCGCTGCTCACTTGCCAGACTAGCGGACTCCTAAGCTCAGCCGCCACCCTCCGCCTCTGGCCCTCAAATTGACACATAAGGGAGAGCGGCGGCCGATAAATCCAATGGGAGCCGGCGCCGAGGCCCTGGAGGCGGGCTCTCGCCTGGATCCTGGCCAATGGAGATGGTCCGGACGTCTCGGGCCGGACAGAGAATGTTGACAGATGAGAAGCTCGCCTGGGATAGGCCGGCCGCGATAGTAACAATTTAGAAGCCTAAGCTTAGCAACAGCACGTGGTGGCCCGGCCCCCGCGCTCCCTGACTGGCGGCCGCTGTGCATGTTAAGTAGGTGCTGCACGCGGATTGGGTCAGAGCAGTCTATGTAAATTGAGGCTGTGGACCAATGGCTAGCGTCTGGGCCCTCGGCCAATGAGGGCGTCGCAGCTGGACGTGTTGCGGAGAGGAAGCTGTGTACCTTGTGACCGCCGCTTGGCCGCGCGCTGTAGCCGTGGGGAGCTGGCGCTTCCCGGGAGACACCCGGCGGGATGAGCCGTGGGACACGCGCCAGCGCCTCGTGCACACCGTGCTCGGGGACCTGTTGCCCAGGCTGGCAACAGCGCTAGCTCGGCGGGAGGACGGGGCCCCTCGGTGGCTCCGGGTCTCGCGTGGGGCTACAAACGACTCCATCCCGGAAGGACATCAGGTGGCTTCAGGAAAGCCAGAACTCGGGAGGGACACAGCCAGTTGGAGCCTAAAAACACGACTTCTCTGAAGATGTGCGTGGCAAAGCCGAGGCTGGAGCACAGTGTTCTCTCGCTGCCCAGGGGACCCCAGGGGCCCCGGCTGGGGGAGGGAGCGTGGCCTATTGCGTGGGCACCTGCTCTCAGCCTGGGCGTCCCCTCCCGCGGGTCCACGACCTCTAGGGGGGAGCCTGCCCTCCGCCAGCGGATCTCCTGGAGCTCCCTCGCCTGCGCTCCGCCCCCAGCGACTGCTGCTAGATCTTCCGCTCTGTCTCTGGCCTTTTGGTTTAGTTTTGGTTTTGTTTTGTCTACCGTACTTAAGAATGGAACCCGGGGGTCGCACGCACAGGCAAGTGGCGAGTGCTTTGCCTCGGAGCTGTGTCCCAAGCCCCGCCCCCTTAAGGTTTTGTTGAGCGACAGGGTCTCACTACTTTGTGATCCTTCTGCCTCAGCCTCCTCGGTAGTTGCATTGACAGGCGTGCGTCGCCTGGGCCCTCTCGCTGTTTCTGTCGCGCCTTGGTACGGGCAGCAGGTGTTCTGTGGCATAAAGTGGCCGGCCACCTCATGCCCAGAAGTTGTGGATGGGGGTGGGGGGCTCTGCTACCAACCGAACAAAAATTGCTGAAACCGCAGTATTACGGGTCCCAGCGCCAATGTGAGCGCTACGTGCGTTTTCACTTGCCCCGCCCGGAAGCTCCTGGAACCCGGTCCGGACGACCAGGGAGCTCGGAGACAGAGCCAAGCTGGCACGTAGCCCTGCTGGGGCTCGAGCCCCGCTCTCTGAGCCAGCGGGGTTGGTTGACGCGCTTGCCGCAGCCCTTCGGGCCCGGGACGTGACACAGGAGGTACCCTGCGCAGACGCGATGTCATGGGTCATGGGGCCCTTCCTGCGGCAGCCCGATCCGGGGTAGAGAACACAAGGTAGCTCACTGAGGATTTGGGACCTAGAAAAGGTATCACCTGTGACAGTGCGAGTAACTCCTTCAGCCTAGGTTCATGCGGAGCTCGCCTCCAGCCGCCCCCAGGATGGGGCACGACTTCCCAGGGACTGGGGTGACTCTCGGGTTGGGACCGTGAGGGACAGCCAGAGAGGGTGTGGTGTGGGATTGTGGGGTGCTGCGAGCAGTTCTGGAGCTGTGGGGATCTGGAAGCCACCACAATCCCCTGGGGCTGGGAAGTGTCTACACCCACCTCCAGGGTCAGCCAGACAGGTGCCCACAGAGCCCCAGAGGCTGGGAGGAAGAGAATGAAGGCAGCTGGCAGGAAAGGCCGAGTGGGAACCTGTGAAGCCCGCAGAGGGGAGTGACCAGAAGGCACCTATAGCCTCCCTCCCTCCCAGGCCCCTACACCATCTGGGGGCTGCAGCTCCCCTTCCCACCCTGGGGCCTTCTCTGTACACAGACGCCTCCAGGGGCTCCCACCTGCAGCCCTCCTGGACCAGCCTCAGAGCCAGCCACCTTCCTGCCCACGGCCCTCTGGGGTGCAGCTCAGACCTAGCAAAGGGCTCTAGATAAGTGTGTGTGTGTGTGTGTGTGTGTGTGTGTGTGTGTATGGGGGGGTGGGGAGATTAGGGCTGGCTGGCCTTCCCAGGCACCCTCAGCCTCAGCTTCCCTGGATGTAGATGAGACTGGCTGCCACCCTGGAGTCCTCAGGGGATGCACTGAGAGACTCCTACCCACCCTGGCCTCCAATCCCAAGAACCTGTAGAAGACTCCTTCCTGGCCTCCCCAGGCTGGCTGGGCCCTGCTTCCCTTTTGTGGGTTCTGGACCACCAGACTTGTACCTTCCCCCACAACATTATCCAGTTTCTTGGGTGTCCAAGGACCTGAGGACCTCAGACAAGCACTGGGGAGCATCCCACACACCCAGGATGAGAAGGTTGGTAGGGCCCTCCTCCAGGGGCCAGCCCAGCCCCTCCTGCCCATGGCCTCTTCCTCAGGGCTTCTTTGGTCGCTGAAAGTGCACCCTGCAATTGCCTGGATCCCTATTCCTGGCACCCCTACTAACTGGCTGGCCCTGGGGAGGGAGTTGTCCTGACAGCTTCCTGATGGCAGCTCTGGCCCCAGGGCAGGGCTGAATCAGCAGCTCCAGAGGGCCATGGTGGCACCCCAACTCTAGTGCAACCATGAGGAGGTGGCACGGTCACTGAGACTGCACCCCTGGCTCTTGGGGCAGAAACAGGCCACCTGGAGAGCCCTGGCAGCAGTGGGTTCCCAGGAAGTAGCAGAATGTGAACATCACCCGAGGTAGGCAAGTGCTCCCCGCCCCTGCCCCCACCCCAAGTGGGCCCAGTGCTGCAGCCTCTGCTCAGAGCCCCAGTTGGGGCCTGGCTCTGGGCTGGCCAGTGCTGGGCACCAGGCCAGGTCTCCAAGCATTTGCTGGCCTTCCAGAAACTTCGACATGCAATGAAGGGGAACATTGCCTGCAGAACACAAAGAGGACAGCAAAATCGAGACACATAAAGATGTAATTAAAGGTCTATGGAAACTAACATGGTGTCCGTATTACTTCTGGTTTAAAATAAGAAAACAGTTCATTATATTTGTGAACAATTGGTGGGGTAGTTTTTCCCTTTACTTCTCAATGTTTTCCAACTAGATTGCAGAACCCTGAACAACTTAGAGATTGTAATTTTTTTCTATTCATATTTCCTTTTGTGTTTTTAGCAATTGTAAATTAAGTTAATTTCTCATAGTCAAAATTTTCCAGAGGCAGAACAATAAATTCTCCCTTTAAGAGCTTTTACAGGGGTAAGGAAGCCATGACGGAGAGATGTGGGTGTAGATCAGGCCTCTATCTACTGTCAGGGTGGCCTCCTCAGGGACATGCCAGCTAGGTGAGCGGCTGAACCTAGACCCACTGCTGCTCCTGAACTCCCCTGCCTGTGGAGACCTTTATGTCTCAAGACCTAGTGGTCCAACCTGGGGTGCAGAGGGACGCTGGTGAGAGAATGGTAGGGGAGGCAGCGCTGTCAGGGAAGGCTGCCTGATGGAGGTAGACGTAGAACAAGACCCTCCAGGGCTCTGAGGCATGGGAGTAGCATGCAGCTGGTACTCTGGGTCCTGCCAGCCTCTTTTCAACTTCTGTGCAGACCAGAAGATCCTAGACCAGCAGATGTGGTGAAGCTGCCCACCCCCCTTCTGGTGGCCCACTGCTACAGCACCCTTTCCTGGCCTCTTGGAGTCTTGGGGCATGGTCTGCCTGCCTCCAGGTCACTGCCATGCCCCCTCCTGCAGGTACCTGACTCCTAGGTCCCCAGAGACTGGCTGTACTCATAGCCATAGTGGGGCAGTGCAGGTGGGGAATGAGGTTGGATGGATTGTGTCCTGGAAACTCAGGAGTGGTAGGGTGTCCCCTGGTGACCACTAGGGAATATAGCCCGGACCCCAGCAGGAGCACAGGCCTGGGCTACAGAAAGGGAAGGGAGTTCCTGTCTTCCATGACCCCCAGCATTGTCATTACCAGCTCGGCACCCCTACCCCTGAGGGTCATCTGCTGCCCTGGTTCTGGCCCAAGACTCAGCCAGGTGTGGGGTGAGGTGGCCTCTCCAGAACTGGATGCAGGCACAGACAAGGGAGCCCAAGTGTGGGTGTGTAGGGACCCCAAGACATCTGCATGGGAAGGGGTAGACAGAATAGAGCACCCCTTGCCCCACCCCCTCCCACCACCCAAGGTCCAGCAGGCATCTCTCTAGCCTGGTTCTCCGCCCCAGTGCCCCATCCTGCACCTCCTTCTAGATGCCTTGTGGCAGCTGCAGGGAACACCTGGTGCACTGGGCCACCTCCTAGCCTTGAGCCTTGCTGTCACCACAAGCTGGGCTGGGGAGCTGATGAGGATTATGGGTACCCCTAGCCCTGGGGAGGGCAGAGGGCAGTGTAGGCTATGCTTGCAACTGCCAGGCAGGCAAAGTGGGTGCTCCCAGATGCCCGCTGGGTCAGCGCTCCCAGTTCATGCCACAGCCCTGCTCAGCTGTCTACAGACCTCTGTGAGCCTGTTTTCCCACCTGTGACAGGGATCCTGTTCCCCTGAGGGGCTGTCACAAGGGACTGTGACAGGTACTTATGAAGTTTGGACAGGGAAGTGGGAAGGACCACAGCAATGGTGAGGAGGGACCCAAGGCTGGAGGCTGCCTCTGGGACACTCACCTCCCAACTAGGGCCTTCTGCCCCTGAGCACCCTCTGGGGGTGGACTGCACAGTCTCAGCTCTATCTCTCAGGTGGGGAGAGTCATTGGAGGGCTGACTGGCCAAGGGACCTAGGTGTAGAGTAAGTTCAGGGAACCTTTACTTTGGCGCAAATGGGAGTCTCAGCCCCCAGGCCCTAAGGTCAGTCATGCTGGCCTAAGGGCAAAATGGCCTCTGATTTGCTGGATGTAGAGGACACTATGTCACTATGGGTGCCTAAGGACAGAAAGGGACACTCAGTGTAGCCTGTCTTGGCCCCTAGAACAGGGGCATCTCCTCCAGACAGCTGATGACTCCCGTGGCATGGCTGTCACTGGTGCGAGGACAAGGGGCACAGGAACTGGGCTCAAGCCTGGGGTGGCCAGGAGTGCGAAGGACTTAGCCTGGTTGGAAGGAGCTGTTTTAGGAAGAGGATCTGGCATCTGCTGTGGCCTCCTAGGGCTCCCATTCTGTCCCCAGAGCACCATCTCCAAGGGCACCAGGGTCCCAAGAGTTCAGGCACCAAAATCAGAGGAAAGCTCTGTTGCCTTGGCAACCCCAGGCTGGCCTTTCTGTGTTCTGCTCAGGGAACCTCCGAAAGTAATGCCCAGGCTGCTGGCGACACAGCCCTAAGACCAGAACCACCAGGGTGGGGAAGGCCGCAAGCCGGGGTGGCTACAAGCACCCCATCTGGCTCTGGTCACCCACACAGGGGCCAGGACCGGCCAGCAGCGGGGCAATGGTGCCTTCACAGAGCGGACAGGCTCACACCAGGCAGGGGCAGCTACCCTCTGTCAGGGGCTGATGGAAGGCTGTGTGCTGCCCTTCAGGTATCCTACGTCAGCACAGACACTGGCCTCCCGGAGGAGAAAAGGGAGCCGGTGTTAACAGAATACACAAGAGCATTTGCAATCCTTAAACAGATTTATGGAAATGATTTTGAATTATAGCGTTTAGAAAATAAAAATAATCTCGATACATAATATTTCCTCCGTTATACACGCTCTCCCCCACAGAAGCCGTTTCTGTGTACCTGTTCCTACTGCTGAACAGTAATTGGGTTTCATCCTATAAAAGAAGCGATAGGTATGTCATCTTTCTAAAAATAAAACTGCAATCGTCATTGCAATGTGAAGCCTGAGATTGAAGCCTGAGGAGGTGTCTGTGTCGGGGCCACTCGGCGGCCAGCCTGGGCCCCCGCTGCCCGAGGGCACAGGGAAGGGGTCATGCCGGCCAGGTGGGCCCCTGAGCCCAGGACCAGGAACCCAAGAAACATCTGTCAGGTGTCCGCGCCTGGTGGGCGGTGGTGCAGCTGCCAGGGCATGTCTGCGCGTTCAGGGGACCACTAGGTCTGCTTCCTGCATTCCCCTCCCAGAAACGAGGCGTGTGTTTTTAAGCAGGGTCCTGAGGTGGGCAGTGGGCACTGGGGAGTGCGGTGGGCAGTGAGCACGCAGGCAGCCACGGCACTGGGCTCGAGTGCCCTGCAGATGCTCCACCGCAGATGAGGCTGCACGGTGGTCGCTCTCCTGCCTCAGCACACACAGCGGACAGGGCTCTGATGGATGAAAGAAGAGCCCAGGCCTGCTCAGCCAGGCACCTGCCTGGGAAGAGCTAGGAGGCCCCGCAGACAGGGAGGCTGACCTCTGTCCACCCACGTCTGGTCTGGAGTCCTCGCAGATAGGAGCCAGGAGCAGAGAGCCAGGCGGCAGCTTGATGAGATGCGGTGGTCCCTCCTGCAGTGCGGCACTGCCCTCCCAGGAGCCATGGCAGCTCCAGGAGCACCAGCCACGTGTCACATGCCTGCCTTGTCACTGTAGAAGGGCGTGACGTGGAACATGTAGCAATGTGTGCACACACGCACGGGCTTCACCTGTCCGTAGCGGGGCAGCGGTGCTGAGTGCGAGGAGCAGCGGGAGCAGAAGATCTAGAACCGGGGAGGGGGGCCGCAGCCAGTGAGCACAGGGTCCCAGGTTGAGCCCCGCACGGTCCCCACCCCCACTGGAAGGGCACCAGGGGTGATGGTGGCAGAGAGGGGAACCCAGGGAACCCCCCACAAGACTTGGCCTAGGAGTCTGGGGTTCTGAGGGGTATCCAGGTCCTGCGCAGAGGCTACCACAGGCCCCTGCTCTGGTCCTCCATCCCCATCTGGCCCTGGCTCTGTGCAGCCAGGACTGGACGCAGCTAGAACAGGCCTAGCACCCCAGGGGGTGTCTGCACAGGGACCAACGAAGGCCCCACCAGCCCCTGGGCTGCTGATCCTGACCTCCAGCCCCAAGGCCATACCCAGGGGCCCCACCCACCTTCCCACAGCTGCGGCAGTGGTGCTTCCTGCGGATGACGGTAAAGGGCGCCTTGCACGCGGTGCAGAAGCCGCAGGCCTCATCTGGCACCCACTCGGGGGGTTCTGTCACAGGAGAGCGGGCATCAGCCACACCAAGGTGGAGGGCAGCTCCTGACTCCTCTCCCTGAGGCCGCCCTGGACCTTAGTGACTGGCTAGGATTCCAAGACAGAGTGGCAGCCCAGAGGCTTCCCTCCTTGCTGCCTTCTGCAGTGCCTGGCAGCCACACCCCACTGCAGGCCTGGCCAGGCCTCTGGGACTTGGGATATGCCATGGGGAGGGGGCTCTCCACCTGGGTGACTCCAAGCTCTCCCGGCCGTTTACCTAAATGTCAGCAGCCCCTTCCAAAGGCCTGGCCCCACCCCAAACTGCTCTGAGCCCCGTGCTGCTTGGCCCTCAGCTGCCTCCTTGTGAGAATGGGACTCACAATCCCGTGTGACCAGGTCAGACCCTGCAGCCCCCTCTGCCCTCAGAGCACCACAGCCCCCATCACGGTTCCAGCATGCCCTGAGACCACCAGGAGACACCCTTGGTACCAGGGTGGAGGTGGCGCCCTTGACCTGATGCCTCCCTGTTCCCATGTCCTCTGGCATGTGCCTGCCAGGGTGACTTCTGGCAGAGGTCCCTCAGTGATGTGGGGCCTATGTGCCCACTGGAGGACTCAGGACTACACGCCAGAGGCCCTCAGAATCCTGCACCTGCAGATGCCGTGGTGCCCCACACACCTTCAAAGTCTCCATCACAGGTCTTGGCTGCAAGTTCAGAGGATGACAGGGTCTCCTGGCACAGCGCACAGTCCTCCAAGGTCGCACTCCGAAGGCTCTGGGTAACTGGAAGAGAAGTAGGATGCTGGCACTGGGGGCCACACATGGGTGCTGGTGGTGTCCCTTGTGGGATGCCCAGGTGCTGCCAAGCCCAATGAGTGTCTCAGTGTGTGCCACATACCAGGGCCACCTCAGCAGGCAGGGTCCCCATCCCTCCCTCTCCCCCAGGCTCTCAGCTCAGCAAGGCAGCCCTGAGGCCACGGTGGATCCGCCCAACAGGCAAGGACTCTGTGGGCCTTGTTCAGTGCAGCCCAAGCAGCCCCAACCCCATGTGCATGGTCAGTCCTTGTCACAGTTCTTCTGAATCCTGCCTTCAAGGAGGCCACCAGCCTAGGTGCCCAGGCAAGAGGGGCCTGGCTGTGTGGCTTCCGGCAGAGCTGGGTCGGACACAATCTCCTTCTCACCAGTAAGGACATCCCTGTCTGGCAAGGCTTCAGGACAGGAGCTCCAGGACCAGTCACAATATTCCAGGTACCAGATACTGCACAGGCAGAGGCCTGTGGTGAGGACAGCTCCCCCAGAACAGGTGCTTGCACCCAACACAGGTCAGCAAATGGGTCTGGCTCCCTCCCTCTCACCCGGGTGCTCAGAACAGAGGGCCAATGCTACATGCCTCAGCCCTCCCTGCTTGGCATCAGGTATCGACAGATACCTGATGTGTGTACACTTGAACAAGGCATGCAAGTACAAGGAGTGTGCATGTGTATGTGCACAGGAAAGTACACACGCACCTGTGGTGTGAGTGATGTGTACATGTAGGCAGATCAAAGCCAGGGCAGCCTCTGCCACTCCCAGTGGGCAGGTGGCCCATGTCCCCGCCCTTTACTAGTGCCTCTGAATGTTTTGACAGATGGGTGGGAGTAACTCGTGACATCTGGTCTTGCCAGGAGACCTGGCCTCTGTGTGCAGCAGGAAGAGAGCTCTTACTGTAACTCCCAGGCTGTGACCCTGGTCCCTGCATACTGGGTCATACAAAGCCCAGACACACGGCTGCCTCAGAGTGGCAGGTGTGAATGTATGCACCCACAGGGGGTAGACAGTGTGATTGGCAGGGCCCCCAGAACCCATCCCAGGGTGCTCACCCTTCTTTAGCTTCTCCTTGTCATCTGTTTCTGGCTTGGTGGCCATGACCTCAAACAGTGTTTTGAGGATACTCCTCAGGTCACTTGCGTAGTTCGTCTGCAGCTGGTCAGCCACCCCTGGGGGGAGGACCATGTGGGAGGGACAGAGGACAGAGAGAAGGGTGTGTCCCTGCCCTGGGGGGAGGCAGAACATTCTACAGCATCATAGGCCATGGACAGGCACAGCTACCACCACGAGGCTGCCCAGCCCAGCACCAACAGGCACCTACATAGCCCTGCAGGGCGTAGCTGAATGGCAGCACGGTGACGCAGGCATCCGCAGAACCCCCAGAGCTCCACGACACACTGTCCTAAAGAACTGGCTGCAGGGCATCAGCATAGATGCCACTTGGCAGGAGGCATGGAGGAGTAAGGGGCTGAGGCTGCTGTGCCCACAGAGCTGTCACCCCTGCCCCTGGAGAAAAGCACCAGCCCACCTGCAGAGCTCCTTCCTCCTCCTGCCTCCTCCTTCCTTCGGGGCAAATCTGGCCCTTCCTGAGGAGGAGCATAGGGGACACTGCAATCCTCCAGATAGGCCAGAAGGCACTGCGCCAGCCCACTGGCCTCCGGAGCCCACGCTGCACCCCACATGTCCTCAAGCCTGTGCATGTCCCAGGTCCAGATGTCACACCTGAGATGCAGACAAACAGCCGGTGTATCAGGTCGTGGCTGCCATGGAACCTGGATCGGATCTTCTCTCTTGTGGCCACGGGGGTAACAGGTGTGGCTGCAGGGGCCACCTCTAGCCTGGTCTTGTCAGTGATGCAGGAAACCAACATGGAGCCACTGCAGAGGAGACAGCAGCATGAGGTGGAGCACGGAGGAGAAAGCCTGTCATGTGCAGCTCCTGCTCCACGGAGCCTGGGCACCCAGCAGCTATATCCTGTAACTTGCTTTACATCCACATGCCCCACTTAAGAAGCTGACCCAGGGCCTGCCCTGCCTAGACCTTCTGCAGCTGCTGTGGCAAACCCTAAGCCCTTGGCGGGGGGCTCAACCTTACGCCACACTGTCCTGCAGCCATGGTGTAAGGCTGTCCACTCACTTTCTCCTGTGGCAGCACCATCTCACCTCTCATGAACTTCTGGGGGGCAGACAGATGCCTCTCAGAAGATGCGTCCACACTCTGGCCCTGGAAATGGGGCCCTATTTGGAAAGAGGGTCTCTGCAAATGTGCTTCAGCAAAGGACCTTGAGATGAGAATATCCTGGGTTGTTCTGTGGATTCTACACTCAGCGACAAGCACCCTTGTAAAACACAAAGGGCAGGAGGGGGCCACAAGGCCCCTGGAGTAACACAGCTACAAGCCAAAGACCACCCGCAGCTACAGCACAGGAAGAGGCAGGACACTCGCGCAGCCTCTCGGGCGGGGGACAGTGGGGTAGCCAGTTGCTGGACTCCTGGCCTCCAGGCCCTGAGAAGAAGGTCCTGTGACCTCAGCAAGTCCAGGCTGTGGCACCTTCTTAGAGAAGCCACAGGACACCCTACCATGTCCCTTTGCCTCTTCCCAGCAGCCTGGGTTCACTGGATTTGCTATTAGGTGTCCACTGTACCTGTTTAAAAGGTGTTTGTGGCTGAGCCACAAACTCTAAAATAATTTGTCTCCAACTGTCTACCCCCTGGGGTCTTGGTCCTACTTTCTGGGAAACTTCTTCAGTTTTTTTCTTTAGCTTTTACTCTTGACATTTTAATCGCTGCTCTCTTGCTTTTTCACTCCTGTTGTTTCTTTGATGTAAAAATCTTTCGTCTCTCTAGAAATACTCATTACAATTTTTGCAAGCTGCTATCTGAAGCCAGCACTGTCCCCTTTCTCTCCTTGGGGCCTGGCTGGCTTGTGCAGTCTGTCTCCCACACCGGCGGCTGGCCACACCTGCGAGACACCGGGCCGTCTGGTTTAAAGGAAGGCCCTAAGAGCTGCCTGCACCACGAGAAACAGGACCTGTCACCTTGCTAATGGGAGTGGGACATATGCAGCCACTCTGGAAAAGCAATCCAGTGTCATCTGAGGAAACCTGGGCTCGTGTGAGCTCCACACTGAACGCTTGTCCTGGGGGTGGAAGGTACCGTAGGGGCTGGCTCTGAGGCAGCACGGGCTCCAGGGAACTGGAACGGAGCCCAAGCATGGAGCAAGGTGATGGAGAAATGACAGCGGCCTGAGAGCCCAGAGGACACTGTGAGCCCTGGACATGCAGTGGAGAGGCTCACAGAATTGCCCCAGAGCCCCAGGGGTTCTCCTCTCCTGGGGTTCCTGGGCCTGCACTTGCACTCGAGCCCTCAAGTGATGAGCGTTCGCTGGACACAGAGAAGCATGCAAGGCTGGGAGCAGCTGTGTAGGGCAGGCCTTCAGCCCCAGTGAGGGCCTGCAGTGCCCCTCCTTAGCTGGGGCGTGGGCCCCACTGCCCTGACGCCGGGTTGAGGAAAGAAGAGGCTGGCAACTCCTGTGCAGTCCTGCAGTTGCTGAGCCGGCCTCCTCAAAGGGTACCAGAGGCTCACGGAGACCAGAGATGCTCAGGGCAGCACTAGTCCGTCGGGAACAACCCTGTGTCCAGCGGGGAGGAAACGAAGTCTGGTGCCAGCAAGAGGACCAGCACTCAGCATCCAAAAGGAAGGGCACCCCAAGGACCAGGGCACACCCTGAGAAGCGATGGGCATGCAGGACAAGCCCCGAGGGGCGCTGGTGCTGCAGGGGCCTGGGGCAGGCAGTCACAGACGATGAGAGTAGTGGGTGGTGGCGGTCTAGGAAGGTGACAGACATCTGGACAGGTGCAGTGGCAGCTGCACGACAGGGCAGTGTACCAGGAAACGCTGTGAACCGCACAATCGCGGTGCTTAAAATGGTGAATTTTCTGCGATATACATGAGACCAAAAATTTATTTAAATACACAAACAAAAAGCCAAGGGGGGGCAGAGTGGGCAGAGGCACTGAGGAGAACGGAGTTGGGCCAGGGGCAGGATGGCCTTTGGGACAGAGGCTCAGGTATGCGCATGCAGCCTGTGGTCACATGTGTGCTGAGGCAGGCTCCGCAGGCTTATGCTGTGTCAGTAAAGAACTTTTAAAAATTATCTTTTTGAAGGGCCGGCCAGATAGCTCAGTGGACTAAAGTGCCTGCTTAGGCAGAGCGCAGTGGCTGGGGTTCAATCCCCAGCTTGTTGTGCCAGCCGCACCCCCAGGGTGCGCTGAGATGCGATTGAGACTTGGCATGGTGGTGTGAGCCTGTAATCCCAGCACTTGGGAGGCTGAAAACAGGAGTATCACTACGAGTCTGATCTGTGCAGTGAGACCCTGTACTAAATACATTAAGAAAGAAAGAAAGAAAGAAAGAAAGAAAGAAAGAAAGAAAGAAAGAAAGAAAGAAAGAGACAAGAGGGGAGTGAGAAATACGTGTGTGTGGTATGGTTCATACCTAGGTGTCCCCCCAAAGCCTCTTGCAGTCATCAGGGTACTAGAGTTTGTGATTCCTTCGTGATCCACCGCTGCAATATGGACGTGAGTGCTACACCTGCCTTGGGGCAGCTGACCTGAATACAATGTGGGGACGGAGAGAGGATCGCTGGCTGCTGCTCCTCCCTTTGCTCTTTGCTGTTTTCCCGCGGCCGTGAACAGCTGCCTCTGCCCTGTGCCACTCTGCCTCGGAGCCAGCCGACTATGGACTGGAACCTCCACTAACTGTGAGCTAAATAAACCTTTCCTTCCTTAATTTTGAGTGTTGGGTATTTTGTCCCCACGAGAGGAAAGTAACTAAGACTATGTATGTATGTCTGTCTGTCTGTATGTAGGATGGCTTGGATAATTCTAATGTTGATTTCTGCTGGTCTACAGAGGGAAGCAGTTGATGCCTAATTATTTTTCTTGTCCTTTTTAATTTCTTATACATTTTTTAAAACTAATTTTGCATACTTACATCTATAATCTGAACAACTAATTTGAAGACAACATTATGCAATATAATAAACATTGTCAAATTCCTGTTGTTCTGTTTGTTGAAGTTCTATATTGTTTCTATTTTTTTTTACTATTTTTATTCTCTTAGATAATATAAAGTTAGCAATACAGTTTTTAAAAATCACTTGTATTTCCATGTGACAGCAATAAACTGAAAGTGAAATTAAGAAAATGGTCCCACTTAGCACAGCATCAAAAAGATTAAAATATTTGATATAAATTTGAGAAAGGAAGGGAAAGAATTATGCACTCAAAAGAGGAAAATATTTGGGGTTTTTTTTTTTTTCTTTGTACTTTTTTTTTTCTTTTTTTAAAGAAGGGTCAGGGGCTGGTGAGATGGCTCAGTGGTCTAAAGCACCTACTTAGAACAAGCTCAGCAAAGCCCGGGGACCGCGGTTCAATCCCCCAGCACCACATGCCAGCCAGCCCCGCCCCCTGGTGGGCTGAGCTGGCCACACACACACACACACACACACACACACATAAATAAAATAAATGAATTTTTAAAAAATATAAAAATAAAGAAGGGTCTAAAGGGTGGTCAGGGTCTCACTACTAGAGCGGACTCATAGTGATTTGCCTGTTTACAGCCTCCCAAGAGCTGGATTACAGACGCGCGTCACCAATTGCCATCCCAGTATGCCCTGGGGGCAGGGCCAGCACGGCAGGCCTGGGGATCGGACCCCAGGGCCCTGCACCTGCTTGCAGGCACTTTAATCCACTGAGCTATTTGGCTGGCTGAAAACTGGGAAATGGTGAAAGAAAACAAAGGGCTGAGCAGATGGAAAGGCGCCCTGGGCTCACAGTATAGGGACATATGTTGCTAAGGAACCAGCAAAATGACCTCACCCCCAACACAATTTCCACAAAAATGCCAATTACCTTTATTTTTCTCCACGGCATCAATAAGCTGATCCTAAAACTCACATGGAAACGCAGGGAGCCCTGAGTTCTAGAACAAGTCAGGGGACTCACAACACGTGTGCTTTGAAATTTGCCATGAAAATTCAGAGCTCAACAGCGCGCAACACGGGCACTAGGTCACTTGGGAGGGACACAGAGTCCAGAAATAAATCTGAGCATTTGGGGCAACTGGTTTTCGGCAGGCTGTCAAATGTGCACCAGATGTGCACATGTCACAGATGTGCACCATCATACTTAGCTTAAAAATGTTTTCGTGGTGGCACTGTGGCATGACCCACAGCCTTGGTGCTATGCCACCTCCCAGCTCTCTTTGGTCATCATGATACAGGGTCTCACTAATTCGCAGCTAGGCTTAATCTTGCAATTCTTCTGCCTCGGCCTCCCAGCGTGCTGGGATTACAGGTATGTGCAACCACACATGGCTTAAAGGATTTTTAAAATATGGGCATAAACTCTGTGGCCTTGGACTAGGTGACAGTTCCTTCAATATGGAACCAAAAGCCTGAGGAAAGAAAGAAAAAAAAAGACACACAGTGGTCTCTGACAAAACTTAAAACTTCTGTGTTTCACAGGACACTATCAGGAAAATACCAGAACTCTGGAGAATTTTTGCAAATCATGCAGCTGATAAGGACAGAGAGGAGCTTGCAGCTTGGGGAGCTTCCTGCAGTGGGCAGCATGGAGACAGCGTGGAGAAAGAGCGACCGTGGAGCCCAGGCTGGGACCTGGGGTGGGGACAAACAGGCAAGGTCCAGGCTCCCTACTGCATCCTCAGAGACCACATGACCTGGAGCCATGTGTCCACACGCAAAAGCAAGGGGCCTAGAGGACACAGGTACGTGAGAGGCTGAGGGGCAGATGTCAGCCCGGAAACCGTACAGGGTGAGGCAGCCTGCCCCCATGACACGGCTGGCTGGC